ATATAATAAAGATAAGGTATAATTAATGAAATAAAAAAAATACAGGATAAATGAATAAATAAATAAATAAAAATAAAATAAAAATAAAATACAATAAAATCATTAAATAATAAAAAAAATTAAATAGATGAATAAATAAATAAAATAGATAAATAAAAAATAAAAAGGAAAATGGAGGATAATTAAAATTTATTGGTGTGTATATCTATAAGGTGTAGATAATATGTATGTGTGGATAATAGTGGCTAGTATGAAACGAAAAGAAGAGTACGTTCGCTTTAACGTGTTGGGCGTGTCTGAACAATGAAATAGTATATGTGAGGTGGACTTGGAGCATAAAATAACAAGAGAGTATGAGACGATGACAAGCGTGTTAATGAACGAATTGTAGAAATAAGGTATACTAAGGGTATAATGAGGAGAAGAGGGGATAAATGAAAGAATGAAAGTGCAAAGCGTACATAGTAAAGATGGGTGTTAATTTAGGGAGTGGATAAAACATGGTGTACAAATTATGTAAAGGTTTGATGAAAATATGTATAGAATAAACATTATAACATGCAAAAGGTGTAATTATTGTTGTTATTTGTTGGGGGGAGGACTAAATTAAAGTGCGCGCTAATGAGCTCATGGATTCTCGCGTAGCGCTCTCGGGTGGGAAGGACGTGGTGAAATATAAGGAAGGGGCGAGGAAGGCTTATTGGACTACCAAGAGTAAATCGTCAGGAACCGAGACACTTGGTAGTGATGAAAATCAATGTGTTTCAATGCATAAAGACGTCTCATGCTCGGTCCTACACGTTCCAACAAGCCGGGGAGAGCGATACGCGGGAGGTGTCGGATTTCTGATACCGAGGGCTAATCTGTGAGAAGTGTGTGGTTAGTGCTTAGATGGAGGATTATTACAGGTATGTAATGCAAGAAGTAGGAGGTAAAGACTTACTATTTTGCCTTAATAAACGGCTTATGCCAATTCGTACCGCCGGGCGTTTATGTGTTCCGTCCATCTTGCTTGGAGGCTTGATGGAAAGAGGGGCGAGCAGTTGGGTGGAATGTGTGGTATGCAGTTGAAAATAAGATAAGATTGCGATAGCTAGAGAAGAATGAGAGATTGTAATAAAGAATAATACAAATGACAGTTTCATCATACACAGTTCGTGATGTAGTGATAGATCGTTATCGATTGTATAACTACGACGTCCGGACGCATTGCATTACCGTTTGACAGTATGGGATAATGATGACAGAAGCCAGACATAGCTCTAGTATTTTTAGCACGCTAAAAAGGCAGTCAGAACGTTTAGTGGGCGTATGGGAGTGTGACGTGATGGCTATGTGATGTGATGAACGATAAGGAGAGGGAATAACATGCCACCTCCGTGGTCACGCTAGCGATGAGGATGTAGATAAGTCGATGACTGATATTGTGTAAAGTAGGTTATTCAGCCGAGAACCGGGTGGCATTGGGTAACCTGTGGTGCTAAATGTAGAGGGAGATTGGAGTCCGTGTTTTGAAAGTGATATGTTGGACAAAATGGCGATTTTAGTGTAATATCATAGAAGGCTATCTAAGGGTGTCAGAGACCGTTCTTGGGATGTGGGGTTATAATTATGAGAGTTCTAGGTAAGAATGTGTTGGTAGTTATCGTTAGCCATTGAGGGTGGTAATTGTTGAAGTGCTGATACTCGACAGAGCTAAGAGATGGAATAAGGAGGCGAGTGTACAATAAAGAAATTGTTTATTATTCATAAGAAATGTAATCAAAAGGACCGTATTACATATATAGTGGATGTTTATATGTTGATATGTTGTTCTATAGAGATTACATGTATTTAATATAAATGTTGTATATAGAGTACATATAGAATATAAAGAGTAAGCTTAATTTGTAAAAATGTTTGAATGTGTAGGTCGGTTCTTGGAGTTCTGGAGCTTGGTTTATATTCAGGGTGGTGTAATGGCACTTCATGTCCAGGTGAGTAGGTATTCTTTTATTTATTGTCCCTGTTGGAGGAAGTAAAATTTGTGTGTATGAGGGTGTCTTTAAGATTTTTGTGCCTCGAATAGGATATTAGGGGTGGGTTTGGGAACAGTTTGTTGAGCTCTCTGTCTTTTGAGATTAGGAACCAAAGGGATTGTATAATTGTGTGTATTTTTTTAAATGTTGGGTGGTATGGTATTGTGAATGGTATTATGTTTTGTGTTCTAGGATTTGTTTCGTGTGTTGCTGTAACAGTGTCAAAAATGAGTTGGCCTTGGGTCCGTTCAATTGCTATGTTGAAGTAGTGTTTTATGTCAATATTTCTGTATCCTCTTGTTAGTAGTATAGTGTGCAGGCGTCTGAGTTGGGGAAGGAGTAGTTCATCATCGGTGATGATTCGTCTATATCTAAGGGCTTGGCTATAAATGGTTCCCATTTTGGTTGGGTTAGGGTGGTGGGAGTGGTTGTGTAGTAGCAGTGTGCTGTCTGTTGGTTTGATGTAGAGTGTGGATTTGAGGGTTCTCTCAGGTGTAATATATATTGAAGTATCAAGAAAGTTAACTTTGGAGGTTGACATTGTGTGTTGGAATTTGATGTGTTCATGGTAGGAATTAATGTGTGTTATGAATTYGTTGAAGGTTTCAGGGCCATGGGTCCAAACTAGAAATATATCATCTATATATCTTTTCCAAAATAAGGGGATTAGGTTTTGGGGTGCATCAGTGAGTAGTTTATTTTTAAGGTGGGCCATAAAAATGTTTGCGTAGGAGGGGGCCATTCTTGTACCCATTGCAGTTCCATGTATTTGGAGATAGAATGTGTTGTCAAATGAGAAGTAATTATGTTTAAGGATATAGATAAGAAACTGTTTGAATATAAAGAGAGGGGGTGTGGGTGGTGAAGGCAGGGTGGCCAGTGCATTTAGGGTTGCATTTATCCCCTCACTATGAGGTATGTTTGTGTATAGTGAGGTTACATCGATAGTGGCTAGGATCGTATCAGGGGGGAGTGGTGTAGGTATTGTGAGTACTTGTCGAAGAAAGTCGTTTGTGTCCTTAATGTATGATGGTATATTAGGGACCAATGGTTTAATGTAATGATAAACAAAAATAGACAGATTCTCTGTTGGCGAGTCACAGCCTGATATGATGGGGCGGCCAGGGATGTCAGTTTTGTGTATCTTAGGTAACATGTAGAATAGTGGGGTTCTTGGTGGATCAGGGGGAAGTAGGAATTTATAGGTGTCAGTGTCGAGAAAGTTCCGGTTGTGGAGTGAGGAGATAAAGTCATTAATTTCTTGGACTAGGTAGGGTATGGGGTTATGTGGTATGACAGAGTAATACAAATGGTTATTAAGTTGCCTGTGTGCCTCTTTGGTGTATGCTCCTTCATCCCATAATACTATGGACCCTCCTTTGTCTGCTGGTTTTATTACAGTGAAGGGCAGTGATTTCAGTTCTCTTAGTGCTACTTTCATATCTGGAGTGAGGTTGTGATTGTTATGTAGGGGTTGTGTTTGGGTCATATGTGATTGTAGTTGTTCCCAAAGGGACTGTGTGAAGATATGTAAATTGTTGTAGGGTGGTGAGGGGGGGTCCCAGGTACTCGTTAGGGAGAATGGGGGTTTAGGTTTGTTGTTTTCTTTAAAGTAGTATTTGAGATTGAGTCTGCGTTTGAATTTTTTAAAAGCATATCTTATATCTGTTACATTGGGTGGTCGTGGTGTCGGAACAAATTTGAGGCCTTTATGTAGTAGTTGTGTTTGTGATTTAGTAAGTGTATGTGGGGTAAGGTTTACTATTGCCTTGTGGTGTGTAAATTGGTGGGTGTGCTTAATGAGTGATTTTTTGTGTTTGTTGATTGGTTTTCTTCTGTAGTGTCGTGATTTACTGTGTAGTTTGGAGCATGTTCGGGTGGTACTATAGTAATTATATTTTACCTGTTGGGCTTTGTCGGAAGCCCATTGGGGTGAYGAGTTGCATATTGTCTTCCAGGTGGGTGGCTTGGTGGGTGTGTAGTAAGTGTAAGTAGTGACAGTGGTTGGGTAATCGTGTGGGTGGAGGGTGTGGTGGTATTGTATGGGTTGTGTCTATGAGTGTGTCGTTTGTAAGTCACTTTGTTGAAGTATGTGTGATTGTCTGGTAGGGTGTTGGTGGTTTGCTCTTCGGCATTGGCTATTAGGTGTAGTGCTATGTCTTCGTTAGGTGTTGTTCGCGTGATTAGTCGGGATTGTGTCAGTAAATCAGTGGAGGTTTGTTTAAGGAGCTCGGTGTGGTGTGTCATTAGTATTTGTGTTAGTTGTATTCGGGCTTGTAGTGTGGTTGATTGCCATTCTGTTAGTAAATGTGGTGGGAGTGTGGTAGGTGGGGTTATGGTGGGTATTAGTTCTAGTGGTGGGTTGTTATCGGTTAGTCTTTGTTGTAGATATTTCTGTTGGGTTGAGTGGTAATTCCTTCTTGTCAATAATTGTGAGTAAAAGGTTGTATATGGTTGGTAGTATGGTGCTTGTGGATTGTCAGTGTGGGGTTGATGTCTGTGTTGTGGTGTTGGTAATAGTCCCTGTTTGTTGTTTCTGTGTTGTAATGTGTTGTTGTTATTGGAGTGTGTTGTCATTGTAATTGTTGGTGTTGTTGTTTTGGTTATGGTATTGATGTTGTCCTTGGTTGTGTTTTTTGTAGTTGGGGCAGTGAGTGGTGGTTGAGTTGTAATTACTGTAGTGGCAAAGGGGGCTGTGATGGTAATTGGTTTGGTTTCTGAGTCTTGTGTTTGTGGGTTTGTAGTTGTGGGGTTTGTTGTTGGTGAATTGTTTGTGTCTTTGCTGCTAGATGTGAATGTGGTAGTTGTGGGTACTTGGGTAGGTTCAGCTGGGGTGGTAATTGTGCATGTTCTTGTAGGTCTGGGTATTAGTCGGCGTCTTGGTGCTCTAGAAGTGTTGGCTGGTAGTCTAGGTGTGGATATTGGGTTGTCTATCGTTGTTGTTATAGGGCAGGACGTTGTTGTTGGTGAAGTATATGCATTTATTAGGTCATCATCGACAATCAACTCGCTGTCTATGACTCCATAATTAAGAAGATCTTCTTGTGAAGGAGCCATAGAGAGCAGGCTTGACGAGGGGGTGAAGCTAGACCTTGTGGTGGCTGTCGTGTTGTTGTCTGTTGAGAAATACATTACATGTATGTGAGTTATAGTTTTGTCTGTTAGGTGAGTTGGTGTTGTGGTTACTGCAGGTGTGTATGGTTGCAAAGGTTGGGGTGGGGTCTGGTATGATTGGATTGTTTATTTGTCTTTTGTGTTTTAGGGGCATAAAGAGATGGGGGTAGTCTGTCTGACTGGGGGGGGGGGGGGGGGGGGAATTGAATGATATTGAGTGTGGTAGGGAATTGAATGATATTGAGTGTGGTAGGGGCAGTGTGTGTAAGAGGGGATTGTTGTCTTCAGGGTTTTATGGTAAGAACGTGTAATTTGGAAAGCCAGGTATATAATAATGATAAGGTATAATTAATGAAATGAAGAAAAATAAATAAAACGGATAAAAATGGTGAAAAGGCGAAATTTACGTAACCTGCGTGGGACGAGCTCGATAAAATGTCGCGTGGTGATCTCGTAGGGAAGGAAGGAGCGGATAATGGTGAACTGGGGAAGGCAAGGGAGGCCAAATGCACTGGCTACCGTACATCATCAGGGGCTGAGACGGTAGACAGAGTAAACTTCGTGTTTCAATGCAATTAAGACGTCTTAAAATTGCTCAGCCCTACACGATGCATTGGCTCGACGAGATAAACACGCGGCGAGTTAGAATTGAAACTAAAGATAGTAGTAGGTTAAAGGATAATAAAAGAGGCGATAGATAGGTATATGGGCGAAATATGAGGGAAGAGTTCTTACTTGTTACCCGAAGTGTATGCTAAATACTGGTTTTCTAATAGGTTTTTTGTTGTTGTTCTTTCCATACTGATCTTGTGCCGGTTAAAAACTATGTGAGGAATGGGGAGTACCCGGGTATTGTAATGTTTGTGGGTAACATATCAGGTGACACCAAGGGTGTCTTGTCGTGATGGGTTTCCTGTGGAGACAATGGTATGTGGAAATGGGATGCATGCAGTGGAGGACGTAGGGGGAAAAAGTGTCTACAGTTTTAAAAAGGCATCGTTCAAACGCTCATGGAGGGGAGGGAGTGTTTTTGACAGTATGGCGGTGATTTGAGTGCTTGTATGGGTTGTTTGGGA